TATGAGTTTTTAAAAATGGTAATGGAGTTTATACGATTATATTTTTAAATTTATTTTTTATATAATTATAAATTTAAAAAATTATTTTTTTAATAAATATATTAAATCAAAATATATATCAATTAATATTTTTAAAATTAACATCCGCTTAAAACAATCAATAACATACAAAAGTTGAAATAATTGGTTATTCTGTTTAAATAGTTGATTATGAAAAATAGGTTAATTAAATTTCGTCACTAATCACAATGGAGCAGTAAAATTTCCTAGCATGAGAGTTTGAATCCTAGAGCTTGATCTTAAATTAAAATTTTTAACTGATAAGTTATGAACAATAATATAAATATAGTATAATATAATATTATAATTTCATAATTATAAAAATATTATTAAATAATTAAATATATATAATATCATTACTGAAACATTGAAATTGGGACATGCTAATAAATAGATGGAACACGGCCACCACCTTTTAAGGTAAAGGTTTATTTTGTACTTGTGATAAAACAATTTGTTAATTTTTTTATCAATAAAATAATTTTTTTTATTATAATTAAAATATAAGGGTACTCTTGTCCATTTTAAATATACCAGACAAGGTACATCAATGCCAAGAAGGCCTGCATTCCAATTGTTTTAGCCATTACCAAACCAAAGCAAAAAAGACTCGACAAATCCATGCCACTGTCCATTAACCAATCATCCGTGCAATTTCTGCTATTTATGAAATTGTTTTAGACCACTTTTATACCATCTTCTTGCTACGCACCGCACACTCACGTGGTCTTGGCAACAACTCATGAAACGAGAAACCACACATGGCACAATTTGTTAATATACGTGAGATTAATCAGATTAAAATCTTCAAAATTAATATTATATAAAATAAAAATTATTAGTATATCTTTAGATTCAATATATTTATCAATATATATTATTTTAGTTATTAAATTTTATAGTTAAAAATTTTTCACTTTAAATCAATGTTTTCAAAACTGATTTCAAAACTGAATTGGAGGTTAAATCATTTTGATTTCTGGTTCACAATTTTAACAGTTTAACCGGTTTAATCGATAAAAAATTGAGTTGTTTAAATTCTGAAAATATATATTAAATTAAATATAATGCAACTTAAGTCTAAGAATTACTTTTGGTGCTGATGATTAAAATTTTTAATTTTATTGAGGAGAATCACAGTTCGAATCCAACGGGTGACAAAGTTGTTCAATTTATGTAACTCTACCCTAAATATATCTTAATGCATGGTTTCACAACACACTTGAATCAGATTAAGTGGCACGAATTTAATTGAGCATCCAAGAGGGCTAGTGTTCAAACCTTACTGTACTCATTTTCCCTTTAAAATCTTTACAGCATTCTTTAAAGGATATTCTTTGCAACTTATTTAACAAGACACGGGGTGGCCAAGCGGCAAATGATTTGCTTATCCTTCATGAGACCTGGTGTTCGAAACCCAGTGGAAACAAATTTGTGAAAATTTTGTCCCAAGAGTTGACTCGGTCGGTTTGACGGGTTATTGGTTCTCACCGGTTTGGATGATCTGAACAGTTTTAAGTGGTTTAATAACTTAAACAGTTTAAAATATTCATCCGATCCATTTCTTACCCCAGGTGTCAGTCCAACTGGTTGATTCGGTCCGATTTTCAAAACCTTGCTTTAAATTTTAATTTGAAAATAATAAAAATAATTTTTTAATGAATATATCGTGAAATATGTACTCATTATTATTCTCCTAAAAAATAAATAAAAATGAATATTGATGAAAACTAATTTTGAACACTATTTAAAAAGTATGACAACTTATAAAATGCGACCAAGAGAGCATATGAGCTATGCACATTG